CTTTTGTGAAAAAATATGTGAAACTACCCGCGTTGGTGTGTGTGTGTGTGTGTGTGTGATTGCGGTCAGACGTGAAATATGGAGTGTTTGCCATGCTAGTTATCCAAAGCGAGACCGCTCCGAGCTCTGGTTTTTGTAATCGTTTTACAGGAAGGGGAGAGATGCGTAGGTCTACCACCTTGTTACTTAAGGTCTGCCTTCCCTCCGTTCTCCTCTTTTCGTTTTTGAGAGCAACTTGTGAAAAGTCATACCACTAGCTCACTTATCACATAGATAACTGATCCTTGTTTGGATATGGGTCGCGGCATAGGCAGTGTTTCGCAACACTTACGGTACCGGGTCGGCTTCTAGCTAACCTTCTCATTTTTGAAACTTTCTCATTTCTTTTTCGTATTGCAATATTTTCTGCACTCTATTATTCATTTCTCTTACGTTTGCAGTGAAGTTGCTTATGGAAATGCTGTAATTGGTTATCTCCCTTGATTGACGGTTATATATGGTATCATCGTAAAAAGCTTCAATTTCTTCACGTCTTTTAGTAAGTGGGTACATATTAAAGAAGTTATCCTGCCCTTAATCGGATTACTACCAAATAGTCTATAGTAAAATAAAATAACTCTGATTTCTACATTCAACATTAGCTTGAAATCCTACAACACTACTATTTTTCCTTTGTAATAAATTAAATTAAATTAGATAAGGTTCTCATTTGTTGTAAGTAATACCTACCACATCGCATGTTTTGATTCAGTTCTATTATTTCTTCAATATTCTTCATTGGAGAATGTTCGAATTGTTCATCCGTTAACAGTTCGTCATTACACCATATGTGCCGGAATAAGCCGCACTTAAATATTACACCAAACATCAAGGAATCTAGTTGCGTCAGTGTTGGCCTATAGTCATTCCCAGCCACTAAACTCAAAAGTACGTGACAACACTCCTGCATCTATTAAATTCGTGCGAACCATAATGTTTGGCAGATAGATGTATAAACTTAGGTACCTCCACGAGATCGCTAAAAAAAGAGCATAGCATGACGAAAAAGACGCTAAACTTGACGAAAACAAAATTTTATCGTCTAAATGTTTATTAAGAGGAAAGATCAAAGTATGTTGGAGGTATTTTTTAATCGTTCCTAGCACGTCCGAAATTTTTGTTAAAACCCTTTTTTTTTTTTTTTTTTTTTTTTTTTGAGTCATCAAAATTGGCCAATTTTTTTTCCATTTTGTAAAAAAACTGGAAACCTCATTTTGAAATTCTTTTAAATATCAATTATCATTTTTTCAAAAGTTATTTTAAGAAAATCAGAAATTATAATGTTTATTTAAAATATTTTGAACCAAGATTAACTTAGCTTTTGCGCCGAAAAGATGTAATCTGAAAATAAAACAAAGCAGGTCATAAACTTTCGCCTCACTTGACAGGTGATGAATGACATGGACGGATTCCGTGACGATAATTTGTTCTACGGAAGGAGAAACGTGAATTAATTTACATTTAATTGAACAAATTATTTACCACGTTCTTTTTCAGGAAAACTTTCAGCGCTCTAATTTTTTTGTACTTAGGTTTCACCTTTACGTTTACGATGCTTTATGGAAAATATAAAGAAATTAAAATAAGACTGTTAAGAGTGACATTAAATTTCATATTTCATAAAGGTATCTAATTAATTTATAGGTACCTTTCTTATGAAATTTTATCAGAACTGTACATAAAATACTATAATTTAATATACATCTATTACATTTTACTGTGTTATTTGTATTTGCATTCATTTTATTAGTAATTTTGATATTTCATTTATGGAAAAATTCCATAACTGAGATTAATATAAAAATAAGATCATATAAATTTCATGATGATACTGATGTGACGGTTACACACCTGGCCCAGGGTCGGATCCTCTGGTTACGGCGCCAACGGTGACGTCGCTCCTCCTGGTCGCTCCTCCTGGGTCCAAGCGTGCCGCCCAACCCCCTTGGTCAGATGATCACCAGCCTCGCCTTTCCTGACTCGCTTCCAATACCTGGTCACTAAAGCAACTGTACCGATCTCCGGTCTGTCTACCCACGCTATGTTTAGATCTTAGACAGACGGGACCAGCAGGGATTGGGGCCGATACAAGTTGAGTCCGACGGGGTGGCAAAACACAAATAAAAGAGAAAATAAACTCACGAGACAAAAAGATTGCTGATGAAAAAATGGGTAACAACCTTTATATCTTAATGTCCGTTACATAAAAACAAAATTGTTCTCATTTCCCGACCCGCTCTGTGGACTATGGCACCAAGTTTCTATCACACAACCTAAAGATTTCGAATTACCTACTCTTTAGAATTGTGTATGTCGGAGTGTGGTTTGGTTCGACATCAGGCCAATTTCTATCGATCATTCGCAGTTGATTCTTCTCTTCGACTTGAGTTGTATTTCTTCTTCGTCGTCGACTTAGGCTGGAAGTTCTCTTGTCTTCGACTTGGGCTGGAAGGATCTCTTGCCGCAACTCAGCCGCAACTCTCTGTCGTCCGAGGTGATCTCTTCTCGCTGCCGTCCGGGGCTGAACTGCCTTTTGTCGATTGGGGCCCCTGCTTTTATTGACGCCGCAGCAAACCGGGGTGGGTCTGTCGGCGTCAGGGTTTCTCGATAATTCCAAAAAGTCGCATTATTTTTTGACTTCCCATTATCGCTATTGTTTTCACCCCTACTTCCTCACAGTGCCTTTGGTGGGGAGGTGCACACCCATCTCTTAGTCTCTCGTATGTCAGGGTGACCGTTTTTCGACCAATGGTTCCTGATCGGGCATTTCTTTCTCTTCTTTTCTGCAGATCACGTGACCGTTTCCGACCAATTGTTATTGATCGAGCATCCTTTCTCCTATTTTCGGGCGTGGTTACATCGTTCTTGTTTTAAAAAAAACAAAATCTAATTTGGCCTTTTTTCGCACGTACGAAAAATGATAATCTTGGCTTTCTCTCACCTGGGCTCTGTCAAAACAGCCCGCCGCTAATTAGATGTGACTTCAGGGAAGAATATTGGCGCTATCTGTGAACTGAGACAATCGTCCCCTTCACCTCCCGTCTTTGTCAGACCCGACAGTCAGAAAATCTTAATTATCTACATTGAAAATATCTTTCACTCGTCAATGTGGGGGTTCTAATTTTTAACAGGTCAGAATCTGTATACAATTCCACCGGTCACTCCCCTCAACCCAAAGACACTTTTTCTCTGATTAAGATTTCGTTCTCATTGTTCTAAAAAAATTTCCCTTTTTCCAAATTGATAAGGTGTCTTTCTACGCAAAAGTAGGCTAGATGCTTTGACCGATATCTGGTTTTCATCAAGCGGCCCGTTTTGATATCATGTCTTTTCCCTTTCTTTCTTTTTATTATTTCTAATTCTATTCTTCCAATTGTCTTTAAAAAATTCGGTCAACATGCTAGCTAAGATATCTTTCTGACTCGTGTTTTTGTTAATGACCGCTTTTGTATTTCTCGACCTCTCTCTTTGCTTTTTTCTTTTTCTTCCTCTTCTTCCCTTAGGATCGTCTAAGTACAATCTTAGTGAATTATTTTCAACTCAATTATTTTCCGTTTTAAAAAAAAAAAACAACAACCTGTTTAGTAAACCGAGTAAGAAAAATTAAATCATATTTCTATGAATATTTCTAATAATGCAAGGTGCCACACTGATACTTGTAGGTACCCTTATCAGTTCACATTGAAAAATTAAATTAACTTCTCCACACGTGTTTTGGAAAAGTAAAGGCCTTAACAGCGGAAAACAATGCTTAACTCAACTAACGCAACTTAATTGTATTCTGGTTGGTCTTCCGTACTTTATAATTACAGCCCGATTATAAACATAAAATTACTCTTTTTAATTACTGCGGATCTTCTGATTAGTCAAAATGATACAATTTACAACGTGCTAAAAAAGTTTTCTCATAAGCAAACTAGGAAACCCGATGCGGCTTTTAACTAATTTTATAATATTTTAACAACTTAAATGTAAAAATCTATTATAATTAAGAAATAACAAATAATTATTAAAAATTCATTTTTCATCGGAAAAATCTTTTGATTTCAGAAAATATTGTCCATATTCATAAACACTAAAACCAAATAAAAGCATTTGTAATTAAATATCTTTGTTTTGAGTTCTGTATGTTACAATTCAGAGCTGATTTCAGGTAGGGGGTCCAATTAAAAACAAAAAAACATGATTTGCATTCCTCAAAACCTTGTGCTTTTAACTATTGTAATCATTAAACCCGATGCGATCGAATTTCTAGCGTTTTCATAAAATTAGTTAGGGTGGAGGATAATAAATATAAAAAATATTTCTGCCATGACTTTAATAACAAAAACAATTTCGATCATCTGTGAATAGTTTCTGAAAGTTTCATTAACATCCGACAATTTTTTTATTTTTGCAATATTTTCCAAATTAATGTCATGCCAAAAAAAATGCTAAAAATTGTGTTATTTTCCTAGTGCCGGTGATGCAAAGAGAAACAATGTTTTTTTAATCAAAATTTAGAATGTTCTTTCCTCTTAATAACATAAGCATTTAGACGATAAAATTTTGTTTTCGACAAATTTGGCGTCTTTATCATCAAGCTATTTTTTTTTTTTTTTGTTAGTGATTTAGTAGCAGTGCCTATATAAACACCCCACTTCTGAGAGCAGTCTCTTAGACATCGCAGAAAAACTGTAATGATTTTGTATCGGAACCGGAGCTCGACAGCTGCCACATAAATACTCTGGCTAAGAGTTTAATTTATTTTTTAAGGTTTATCGACCTTGTGAAGATTATTTAAACCCAGATAACACTTCTAAATTATAATTTTTTTAGATAAGGATTAATTATATAAATCTTACTAATTAACACAGCTGGGGCTGGGAGAAGAGGTGGTTTCATACATTTGCAAGGATAAAACTGATCTCCTATTGTCAAATTCCGAGGCTTTATGAATTACACCACCCTGCACATTCAAGCATACAGCACCGGGTATTCTCAAGTCGTCACCGATCTAGGTACTGACCCGGCTCGACATTGCTTAACTTCGGTGATCGTACGAGAAAATTTCAATATGATATTGACTTAAATTTTACTGATGGTAATATTGGCGGGATAAAATGTAATTCAATAATTTCATCGGCAAGCCCACCACGTTACCCCGTGTTCGCAAATATTTGCACTTTAATATATTTTCTGTTTATGAGTTATTTTAATATATATACTTATTTAAGTAAATGCTCTGTTTACAATAAAGAGAATTACATTTACCAGCCTGAAAATACCGTATGCAGTATTCAGACCGGTAAATATAATTATTTTTTTTTATTATAAACAGCATTTACGTAAGTAATTGTATATATTGAAATAATCTATAAACAGAAAATATATCAAAATAATTGTCAGACTTAGTCCAATGATAATGTTGTCATTTCTTTACGTTAAGATACGCTTCGAGCGGATATGATTGTGAAAAATTTGTTTAAAAACAGTAATTTTGACTTTGCTAACCAGATGCTTCCTCTGTAGCTGAGTGGTATAGCACGTCAGATTAAATGACGGTTTCGTAGAAAACACGTTCGATTCCTGTAGTAGGACATATATTTTCGATGAAATTTCTGATATTCACGTCGGTAAATGAAATTAATACTGTTTATTATAAACAGCATTTACTTAAATAATTGCATCTATAAAATAACCTATAAATAAAAATATATTACAAGAATTTTTGGGTTAATCCATTATGTAATCTATATTTGTATGTATCAAGTGAAGATGTCATTTTTTATTTCATTCTTTTCTATCAAGAAAAAAATATGGAAACCGAAAATGTATCTACTAAGTTTTGAGTTATTAAAAATAAAAATTGGTAAGGTGGTGACTTGAGTTTTAAAAACATTGTTGAATGTTATATATATTTATTTTATTTATCTCGCTTTTTCCTTTTTGCGTTAACTTTTGCTTCACTAGAACTTTTTCTCTGGACCTCAATTTACTCGCTCCTTACATTTTGTGATAAAAAGTACATTTAACTAATATATATATATATATATATATATATATATAAGTTAGTCGGAACATTAAATCTCTCCAATTTGCGGACCCGAGTTACAATATTTATGCTTGAAATAAGGCAAAAATATCAATGATAAAATTGTCAATTATTTATATCTATTCACACTGGGAGTCATGCATGCCATTATAAGTAATCCGTATAGCATGATGAAAAAGACGCTAAACTTGACGAAAACAAAATTTTATCGTCTAAATGTTTGTTATTATTAAGAGGAAAGGTCAAACTATTTTTGGGGTATTTTTTTCCATTTTTTAATCGTTCCTAGCACGTCCGAAATTTTCGTTAAAAAATCTAGTTTTTTTTTGAGTCAGCAAAATTGACCATTTTTTTCCATTTTAAAAAAAAATGGAAATCTGACTTTGGAATTTTTTAAATATCAATTATCATTTTTTCAAAACTTATTTTAAGAAAATCAGAAATTATAATGTTTATTTAAAATATTTTGAACCAAACTTAACTTAGATTTTGTGCCAAAAAGATGTAATTTGAAAATAAAACAAAGCAGGTCATAAACTTTCGCGTCTCTTGACATGTGATGAATGATATATTCCATGAGGCTAATTTGTTCTACGGAAGGAGAAAAGTGAAATAATTTGCATTTACGTGAACAAATTATTTACCCCGTTATTTTAACGAAAAACTTTCAGCGGTCTAATTTTTTTTTTTTTTTTTTTTGTAGCTTTCACCTTTTACGTTTATGATGCTTTATGGGAAATATATTCTAAAGAAATTAAAATAAAACTTAAGAGTGACATTAAATTTCATATTTCTTAAGAAAGGTATATAATTAATTTATAGGTGCCTTTCTTATGAAATTTTATCAGAATTGTACATAAAATACTACAATTTTATGTACATTTATTACATTCTACTGTTATTTGTATTTGCATTCATTTTATTATTAATTTTGATATTTCATTTATGGAATAATATCGTAACTGAGATTAATATAAAAATAAGATCATATAAATTTCATAAGATGATACTGATACTTGTAGGTACCCTTCTCAGTTGAAATTGAAAAATCAAATTAACTTCTCCACACGTGTTTCGCAAAAGTAAAGGTCTTAACAGCGGAGAACAATGCTTAACTCAAATAACGCAACTTAATTATATTCTGGTTGGTCTTCCGTATTTTATAATTACAGCTCGATTATAAGCACAAAATTACATTTCTTAATTACTGAGGATCTTCTGATGAGTCAAAATGATACAATTTACAACGCGCTAAAAAAGATCTATCTCATAAGGACACTTATGAAAGCCGATGCGGCTTTTAACTAATTTTATAAAATTTTAACAACTTAAATGTAAAATCTATTATAATTAATTAAATAACAAATAATTGTATTAAAAATTCATTTTTCATCGAAAAAATTTTTTTGCTTTCAGAAAATATTGTCCATATTCATAAAAACAACTAAAAGCAAATAAAAGCATTTGAAATTAAATAATCTTTGTTTTATTGAGTTTTGTATGGTACAATTCAGAGCTGATTTTCAGGTACTGCATATCCAATTAAAAAAAAAAAAAACATGATTTGCATTCCTCAAAGCCCTGTGCTTTTAATTATTGTAATCACTAAAACCGATGCGATCAATTTCTAGCGTTTTCATAAAATTAGTTGGGGGGGTAATAAATATTTTAAAAAATATTTCTACCATGACTTTCATAAAAAAAAAACATAATAATTTCGATCATCTGTGAATAGTTCCTGAAAGTTTCATTAACATCCAATAATTATTTCTATTTTTGCACGATTTTTCAAATTAATGTGTGTCATACCAAAAAAAATGTGCTAAAATTGTCTATTTATTTACTAGTTCCGCTGATACAAATAGAAACAAGGTTTTTTAATCAAAATTTAGAATGTTCTAAAAAGAAAAATTTTTTAAAAATAATTAAAAAAAAAAAACTTTCGTCTTTCCTCTTAATAATAAGCATTTAGACAATAAAATTTTGTTTTCGGCAAGGTTGGCGTCTTTTTCATCAAGCAATGCTTTTTTTTAGCGATTTCGTCGATGTACCTAAGCTAACGTTATATCAACACCTTACTGGATATATAATGCCGAAATTTAACTTTCTTCGGAGAGTTGGTATTTTTTACTATTTAAATTTATTGTCAAAGATTTGTTATTGCTATTTAAATCTATTGGCAGAATGATTTGTTATTGCTATTTAAATCTATTGGCAGAATGATTTGTTATTGCTATTTAAATCTATTGGCAGAATGATTTGTTATTGCTATTTAAATCTATTGGCAGAATGATTTGTTACTGCTATTTAAATCTATTGGCAGAATGATTTGTTATTGCTATTTAAATCTATTGGCAGAATGATTTGTTATTGCTATTTAAATCTATTGGCAGAATGATTTGTTATTGCTATTTAAATCTATGGGCAGAATGATTTGTTATTGCTATTTAAATCTATTGGCATAATGATTTGTTATTGCTATTTAAATCTATTGGCAGAATTTTTAAAACATCTATTGGTGTAAATCTTTATTTCCCATGGTTGTGACACTAACAGGTGCAACCACACCAGGTCAAGGTGGACATGAAAACAATACCAAGAGATGGTTTCCCGCCTCTTCAAAACCACTTGATCAGAGGCCTTGCTGCCGGATGTAGTTCATCGTTATACCCAAGGCGAGAAGAATATCAGTGGTGCATAATTATGAAAGAGCTTATAAAATGGAATTATCATTTTTAGCACATACGCATACATCAAATTTCACTCAAGCATAAACATGGAGAGACAGTGAGAAAAAAATAAGGCTTTAAACCCACTCTTGTGTTTGTGTAAAGAGAAAACATGAACATTGAAGAATACTGAGACGCCGTTTCTGTTATAGATAATTTTCAATGCGTTTTTTTTTTCTTTTTTCGCCTGTCTGTATCAGATAAAATGTTTGATGTTTGATTGATGTTCGGGCGCCTTGAATGCGGGGAAATAAAACTGAATTTCATTTTTTTTCCCTTTCATCTTTTATCCTGTATTTCTATCTTCGTCAAGCGATAAAAAGCGACTAACGTGTCCAGTTGTTTGCATGCAGAGAAAGCAGGAATGAATCTGCTCTGCTGAATATCATTTAAATGGGTTTTATACGGATGTTTAATTTACTTGACACAATTGCTCATTTAATATTAGAAAGAAGGAAAGAATACTTTTAAAACTGTTGATATTTTATCTGTTTTGAAAGATAATTGAAGAAACGCTTGAAGAAAATGACTAAATCTAATAGATATTCTCTGAAATTTTGATTTCAGTTTCTTGTTTATATTGAAGATGGGTGATAAAAAATGTTACATAAATACGACAGAATGTCACTGATTCACGATTATGAGTGAAAAAAATTCACATACTTGATTGTTTTTAACATGAGAATCTTTCATAGCAATGTTTCAGTGTATGAAGTTGGTTACTAGGAGATACTCTTTAATGGATTCTTGATCAATGCGGAGGTAATTTGAGATTAAAATCCTTTATCTAGTTAGCTATATAGTGTGAGATCTTTGCTTCTCAATTAAATGAAGGATTACCCGCGGCGATTCTTTTCCAGCTGAAAACAGTATTTTCCTGTTTGCATACATTCTGCAAGTAGCGTAACTTTATCGGGGTAGAATATGAAAAGAAGACCTGTTCAAATTTCGATATCATCTTATGCGTTCACTTTCGGACCATTGACTTCGGAAAGAAGTGGATCCATCTTTTCTTCCTCTAGTTTTGAGTTAGATAGCAGAATAGACTGGATTTGCTAGCCTTGGGCGTTAGTTAAAATAGACGGGAAACTGCGAAATGGAGAAAGTAAACGTTATGGTAATTCATAGATATAGAAATTGAATTCATCGATAAACAAGAACAGGGACGTGAGGAAATATGGCATTTAAAAAAATGTGCTAATATTTGTTCAACACTTTCTTATAAAATGTATTTACTGAAGTTTCACGGGCCTTCTAAGAAGCCCTTTGTGGAAAAATAAGAG